CATACCACCTCCCTCCACAGGAGGGCAAGGCCTGGGTCCCTCAGAGGCACAACTGCCAACCTCCTCTCCTATCTCGGCTTAGCTGGCACTGGGCAGGCACCTGGGCTACAGCCTCTGCCCCTGGCACTGGACCTCCACTTCTTCCACATGTATGCACCTCAGCTTAGCCAACCTTCAGTCTGTCAGTGGGCCCAAAGCATCTTCTCTCCCTTGGTATCTCTGGGACTGGGATGCGTATCTGACCCCCATCTCCTTTTCACCTTTTGCTGCTGTTGGCAGCTGCTGGCTCAGGGGCATTCCACCTCTGGCCCTGGGTTCCACTGCCCTCGACAAGGGCTCCAGGATCCAGTCTTGCACCCGCCCAGAGCCGGGAGGGCCAAGACTCTGCATAGGATATTTAAGTTGAGGAGCCAGCCTCCTGGGCACATAGAAATTTAAAAGAAAATAAAAAAGATATATGCAGAAGATACATGTTAACTGCAGCATTATTCACGGTGCCCACGACATGGAAAACAACTGAAGTGTCCTCTGGTAGATGACTGGATAAAGATGTGGTACATATGAACAATGGAACACTACTCAGATGAAATGCTGCCATTTGTCATGGGTGGATCTTGAGAATATCAGGTGAAGCGAAGTAAGTCAGGAAAAAGTCACTCACGATTTCATCATATGTGGGATATAAAACCGAAAGCAACAAATGAATAAACAAACAAAAATTCAGAGACCTAGACAACAGTATGGTAGTTACCAGAGGGAAGGGGGTGGGAGGTTAGTAAAGTATAAGGGGGTCAAATATATGGTGACAAAAGAAGATTTGACTTTGTGTGGTGCACATATAATACAATATATAGATAATGTATCATAGAATGTACACGTGAAACCTGTATAATCTTATTAATCACCCCAATAAAATTAATTTTTAAAACTGAAAAATTTAATAAGTAGAATATTATAGCTTCAAAGGCTACCTTGTTGTTTTTTTTAAAACAATGAGTTAGGCTGAATGATTTCTAGAAGCTCCTCTACAAAATTGTCTTAACATGCAATGGTGCCTTTGTTTAAGAAGTATTCTCTTTGAATTACATTTGACATACTTATAGTTTAGAAAAAAGTTGAAATTCTTTAAGAATACTCAGAAGCTAACATTTGCTCAAAAAACTGCATATCTGGTTACCAAGGCTAACAGTAAATACTAGGGCTCCAGTGCAGCTGCTGCCGTTCCCATGCACTGACAGCGCCGGCCCTGCTTGCACCCGCTGATGGCACAGAGTAATCGATGCCAGCGCCAGCTGTGGGTGCAAGCAGGACCGGCACCGGCAGTGGGTGCGAGCGCCCAGCAGGACCACGGCGTGCAAGAAGGAGTAAAGAATTTTTAGTAACCACCAGCGGCTCTCCCTGATGACAGCAACCAGCGCCTTACCTTGGTCTGGTGCCCCCGCTCACCTGCTCCACCATCCTGCCACAGCCAATGCCCGCCATGTTCTGCACTCTGCCACCTGCTGCCAACACCCACCATTGTCCGCGCATGCCCCCTGGTGGTCAGCAGCACGTCATAGCGATCGGTTGTTCCGCTGTTCGGTCTATTTGCATATAAGGGTTTTATATATATACAAAATTTGTGCATGGGAGGGGGGCCTGAGACCAGTCTTCACCCTCTCCAATCTGGGACATCCCTCTCACAATCTGGGACCGCTGGCTCCTAACTACTCACCTGCCTGCCTGCCTAATTGCCCCTACTGGCCTGCCTGCCAGTCTGATCATCCCTAACTGCCTATGCCTGCCAGCCTGCTGGTCCCCAACTGTCCCCCCTGCCAACCTGGTCGCCCCCAACTGCCCCCCACAGCTGGCCTGGTCGCCCCTGATGGCACCCCCTGCCAGCCTGGTAACCCCTAACTGCCCCCACTGCTGGCCTTGTTGCCCCTACTGCCCCCCTCTGCCTACCTGGTTGCCCCTCACTGCACCCCCTGCCAGCCTGGTTGCCTCACACAGCCTGCTGTTTGGTCATTTGGTCACCCCTCACTGCCCCCCCTGCTGGCCTGGTCGCCCCACACGCCCTGCTGTTCAGTCATTTGGTAGCCCCTCACTGCCCTCTGATGGCCTGGTTGCCTCACACACCCTGCTTGTTCAGTCGTTTGGTCATCCCCCACTAACCCCCCTGCCGGCCTGGTTGCCCCACACAGCCTGGTGTTCAGTCATTTGGTCATCCCTCAATAACCCCCTGCTGGCCTGGTCGCCCCATGCAGCCTGCTTGTTCAGTCGTTTGGTCGTCTCTCAATAACCCCCCTGCCGGCCTGGTCGCCCCACGCAGCCTCTTCAGTTGTCCGTTCGGTTGCAATGGCCCCTGGCTCTTTATATATATAGATAGATAACATTGCTGTAGATATCTCTTTACTTCAAATATTAATTAAAATGTACAAGTTTTCTTGAATTGGAATTTTAATCCCTAAATTACATAATGAGAACTTAGCTTACTAGCTTTTGTGCTAGTACTTCTGTTTGATTTAGGAGGCTTGAAATGAGTGAAAGGCACTCTATTTGGCAAACTGTAAATGTCATATTTTGTACTCTTATCAGATTTTGATAGCTGTGAGAATCATAAAAGTCTATACATAATTTTAGTTCTTTAGACTAATGTAACCAAATAAGATATGTAGGTTAAGTAAGCTACTATTAAAATTTAATTCTATGTCCTAGAGCAGTTTTATAAATCAAATTAAGGAATTCAAATATGAAATTACCTCCAGATCTTTAATAATATCATGTAGTTCTGAATCAGCAGTAATAAAAGATGTTAAAGGTGAGTATATATTTGATTCATTTGACTTGGATGTTGTTTTTCTTCTCTCTCTATTTGCTTCAGACATTTTTCTCTTGAGTATTTGGGAGGAAGAAGTAGGTTCAATGGCATTAATAGGCAAGTCTATAAGAGAAAAGGCATTTTCAAAACACAAATTTTCTTCTCGATGTGAATGAACATGTAGGTTTTCCATTTGTTTTCTGATGTTAGAAATAACAGAGCTCGAAAAGTCTGGCAAAAAATCTGATGTAGACATCATTTCTTGATTTGCAGGACTGTTGTTACATACTCCCTCAATATCTGCTTTATTTTTAACTTGATCTTGCATTTTCTTTTCTTTTGCCATTTTTAATGCCAGGTCATTGACATCTAAGTTTGACCGAGTATGATAGACTTTCCAGTGTTTCTTCAGCTTCCTGTTTCTCTCCTGAGCTCCATGAGTATTGGTATTTGAGGAATCGATTCCGTAAACTTTTAAGCCATACTTCAGGGACAAATAGGAACTTAGGTAGCCTTTTCCAGAACCCAGGTCAATTACCTAAAGAAAAACAGAATGAATTAAACAAATGGTTGTATACTTTATACAACCTGTTACGTTTTTTATTTTAATTTTGATTCCTATTAAAAATCAACCATACTCATCACTTTTATTTAACTTTTTAAAAGAAATTCTAGACAGTGTAATATCAAGAAAAAGATGCAAAAGTCATAAATATTGGAAATAAAACTCTTCTTTATAGATAATATGACTGTGTCTCAGAAAATACTGAATAATATATCAAAAAAGCTAACACAGAAAGTGAATTTAGCAATGTGTCAGAATACAGGATCATTAGAAATTAATACTAAACCACTAGAATATATACAACACAGTAGCAATTATAAAATATTTAAATTAAAATAGCATAATATAATACCTAGTAATAAATGTAACAAAGGTTGTGTAAGATCCCTATATCTTGAAAACTACAAAACACTGCAGAGAAAAAATTTAAAAGATTAAATAATGATATACCATATTGACAAAACATGAGACTCAATTTTAAGATGGCAATTTCCCAAACTGACATAGATTCAATGCAATCCTAAATTCCAGCAGATTTTTAAAAAGAAATTGGCAAACAGATATCACAATTTATATGAAAGGCACAGTTCCTAGAATAACCACAACACTTTTGAAAAAGAATAAGGTTGGAGGATTTACACAATTTTGGAATCAATATAAAACTAGAGTAATCAAAACAGTATAATGCTAGTATAAAAATAGACATATAAACCAATAAAAAAAAATAGAGTTCAGAAACATACTAATACTAATATAGACAACTGATTTTTCAAAAAAACTGCTAAGGTAATTTGATGAAGACAAGAGTCTTTTCAACAAATGGTGCTGGTATAACTGGATGTCTGTATGAAAAAATGAACTTTGCTTATGTCATTCCAAAAACAAAATTAATTAAAAGCGGATCACACATCTAAATGTAATAGTAAAAACTAATAGCTTCTTAAAGAAAACATAAAAAAATCTTTGTGACATTAGGAGAGGCAAAGATTTCTTATGTAGAACACTAAGAACATGAACTACAAATAATTGAAAAAATAAACCTCATTAAAAATGAAAACTTTTGCTATTTAAAATAGTTAAAAAGAACTACTGAATAGTGTACTTGCAAATCATTTATTTGACATATGGTTCATGTCCAGATTATATAAAGAACTCTTATAACTCAATAAGACAAGCAACCAATTAAAAATGGGCAAATAATTTGAACACACATTTCACAATATCCTATCTAATAAAGAGATAATATGCTAATTGACCCTCACACCATCACAAAGATGGCGGCACCCACAGCCAATAAGGAGGAAATATGCTAATTGACTGCCATGCCCTCAAAGATGGCGGCACCCAGTACCCTTAGCACCATCGGGATGTGCCTGCCTCTGGAGTCCCCCAGTCCCCTCAGCCCCCCAGCCACCCAGGACTGGCCAAAGGTGCAGGCAAACCTCAGATGGCAGCTGCCCAGCTGACGCCCGAGGTTCAGGCAAGCCTCGTATTTCGGCTGCCCAGCAGCCCAGGTCCAGCCTGAGGCGCAGGCAAGCCTTGGATGGCGGCTGCCCAGGCTGCCCAAGGCTCAGGTAACCAGGGCCGGCAGAGGCTTGCGCTGCTGGCAGTGGAAACAGCAGAGGTGTGACGGGGGCATCACTTTCCTCTGATCGCTGGGTCACCTCCCGCCCCTGAGGGCTCCCGGACTATTAGAGGGGGCAGGCCGGGCTGAGGGACCCCCCTCCAGTGCATGAATTTTCATGCACTGGGCTTCTAGTGTCATATAAACAGCCAATATTAAAAGATGCACAATATCACTAGTCATCAGGGAAATGCAAACTAAAATAATAATGAGAAATGCACAAATATAAAATGGTACAGGCACTTTGGAAAACAGGGGTAGTTTAACATAAAGTTAAAAGATACACTTACTATATAATCTACAAATCCCACTCTGGACTAATTATTCAAGAGAAATAAAAACATGTCCACACAAAGTCTTGTAAGTGAATAGTAATAGCAGCCAAATAAAGGTAACGACTCAAATGGTCATGAACTGGTAAATGAAAAAACATTTATAAACATACTATGGTCTACTACCCAGCAAAAAAGAGAAACAAAGAGTCAATATAACAACTGGGGATGTTCAAAAGCTATGTCATAAAGATGTCAAACACAAAACATCATTTGTACAATGTTCTAGAACAGTCAAAACTAAGCAAATCAGTACAGTGGGGCCTTGACTTACGAGTGTCCCGACTAACGAGTTTTTTGAGATACCAGCTGTCTCTCCGTCGATTTTTTGCATTGAGTTGATAGAGTAATTTGAGTTAACAAGCTCCTTAATGAGCTCCTTAACGAGCTTGGTCTCGGAACGAATTAAACTCGTAAGTCAAAGCCCCACTGTAGTTCCCTGAGAATAGAGGAAAAAATAACTTGCAAAAGGGCATGGAGGAAACTTTTTATCATGACAGAAATATTTTTTATTATGGTGATGGTTACACAACTGCATACAATTACCAAATTTATCAAACTGAACACCTAGAATTAGAGAATATATTAATTAAACTAAAAATGATAAAATAAGTAAAAAGTTACCAAGAATACTTTTATATTGCCATGCCTCTTCATAGAAATAAATGGACAATTACAGAAATACTATCATAAGAAATTATCTACAACTATCTTTAATTCCTAACTAAATCAATTAAACTCTGTCGTAAGTATGAACCACTCAAGGAAACATGCCTATATTTGTAGTAATGCATATCATTAATTAAATCCTCAAAAATTTCAGGGGTCTTGTAATTCAAGTATTTCATAGGTAAGACTCCAATAAGTAATGTCCCCTAAATAAGTAACTAGCTTACAAATACTTCCCTATACCAGTTTTTAATGTTAATCTCTGGGAAACACAGAAGCATAATATATCTTGACTTTAAGGAAGTATAATCTAATTGAAGTTACCATACCTATACTCATGAATATAAGAGCTGTACAGTAGAAACTCTATTAATCAATTCCCTTATATCTGAATCTTCAGAGAAAGCAAAACTTTCCTTTGATTCTATAAAACACACTCACTGATATCAATGACAAATTTAATGCTAGAACCAGTGGTTGATGTAAACATCAGCATATTTGTTCCCACCAATTTAGATATTTTCTTACCAAGAGATAATTAAGTTTGTTTTCAAATATATATATTATATATATATATATGCAACCGTCCGACCGGTAGCTATGATGCGCAATGACCAACAGGGGCAGACACTCTGACCAGTAGCTATGACATGCACTGACCACCAAGAGGCAAACACTCAACACAGGAGCTGCTGAGCTGTGGTGACTTGGCACCTACGGTTCTCAGGAACCAGAGAGGAGGGAGCCCAATTCCAGGGTGCATCACCCGAGAACTGCCCTCTTGCAATCCAGGACCCCTTGGGGGATGTCGGAGAGCTGGTTTCGGCCTGATCCCCACAGGCCAGGTCACGGAACCCCACTGGTGCACAGATGCACTGGGCCTCTAGTATGTTTATAATAATTCCACTAGTAAATGAGGAAAATTCTGGCTACAAGTAACAGAACATCAAGTTTTGAACAATGAAGAAAATTCACTTCATTTTAGGAAATCTTTCAGTAGAAGAGTTGAACCATTCAGAGATTCAACGACATTCAACTTTAGAAAATATGTACCCCTACGTTCATGGCAGTGTTGTTTACAATAGCCAAGATATGGGAGTAACCCAAGTGCCTATCAACAAACAAGTGGATAAAAAAGCTATGATACATATATACAATGGAATGTTAAGTCAGTCATAAAAAAGAATGAAATCTTATTATTTGTGACAGCATGAATGGAACTAAAGTGTATTATACTAAGAGGAATAAATCAGAGAAAGACAAATACCATTATTTCACTTGCATGTAGAATTTAAAGAGCAAAATAAACTTTTGCTAGCTTATTTTTAATTCCTCTTGATGGCTGTAGAAACTCTTAGAATCATGTCTTCACAATATAATACCTAAAAACCTTTTCAGTAATGAGTAACTTTTCCTAGAAAATTTGTCAGCCTACATTTACATCTTATTGACCCAAGCTGACTTCTATCCCTTTCCAAACTGACTTAGTAACATATGCAGTGTTAGCAATAGAATGGAAAACTCTGTGCAATTAAAAGTTGTATAAGCCAGAAAACGTTTTGCCTTCACACTATCTGGTCTCAATTGCAAAATTTCCACCATCCTGATTTCCTACTCTTTACTCACAATAGTATTTTCCACCCTGGATCACCTTACAGGTTAGAAGACAGAGGAGACTCTAGTCCAATACCTGCTGTGACTGACCTTCCTAGTCTCCTAATTCTGTTTAGGATACTTCCTCACAAAAACATTGCTACACACAGTGGTCATTATACTTCAGATAGAAGAGTTATATTTTGTTGACTAACTTGAAGATCTAATTACCATTCTAAGCTAAAGGCTTTCAAATTTCAAATTTTAAATAAATTTATAACACCAATATGGAATTCTCTGATGAACTTCATAATCATATATCCATCAGTTTACCTAATTTTTCCACTTGAGTGTCTAATAAGCATCTCAAACTTAACATGTTCCAAAACTAAGTGCTTGATATTTTCTGTAAAGCCTGCCTCTCCCCACATCTTCTCCATCACAGTTAATGAGAGCTCTCTAGGGCCTCTAGTAAACGCAAGTGTTTCTGATTCTGAATTTCCATAGACCATCTTAAAAGTAAAGTAGTAGATATATAAAATGTTTTAAACTGAGCTATTGTGAGAACCAAATATTGCTATTAAATGATTTAACACAAAGACCTTTTAAAAGTCTTTACTTTAGGAGATTTCATCCACTAGGAACATTCTCCTTTGCTTTGAAAAAATTCCCTTAAAGCAGGTCTAACATGATATATTAAGCTATTTCAAAAATTTTTCCTGCTATTTAGAAATAAAATAAATCTGCTTTGTTACAGTTATTTATTATTATGCAATATTTCACATAAATAAAAGAATAAATAGTCAAAATGTAAAGTTATGAAGCACAATAAATACCCTTCTTCTTAGTTTTTGTGTTACAGTAGAGCAGATTCGACACCAGAGATTTATTTGGGAGGTGAAAGAAGGGTAGGGAAGTAGAGAAGAGAAAAAGAGAAAGGAAGGCAGCCCAATAAAAGGTGCATTATTAATCAAGATACTTGTAGGGCAACTTGGGTTTAATTGCACTGGGAAATTCTGAGAGCTAGTGTAGAAGGCAGACTCAGAATCATCCACCTGAAATGTCAGGGAGTTGATGTATTTGATATCAACTTGTACCGATCAGTGGTTCAAGGCTTGCCACAGAGAGGAATTAATTCCCAGAACCTGTATGCAAGCAGCGCCTTGTTTCAGCAGCCAGAGAAAACCCACAGGGAAAGAAATGCAGACATTGCCAGGTAGGGAGGAGGCTGGCACACCATGCAATGGGAAGGCCCAAGAGTATTAGGTTAGGTGTCCAACAGCACCGGCTATACCCACAAACCTATCAGCCATCCTAAAAACTACAACATTAGTATTTCTGCTGCCTTAATTGTGGATGGTTTTCCATCTATAACCCATTTCCCTGCTTCCCTACCAGAGGTAATTAACTATTCTCAAATTATTATGATTCCATTGCTTTTTTTCTTATAATTTTTTGCCTTAGGAATATACCATTATTTTTCTTTAGAGCTTCTAAAAATGGTACCATAAAATATGTGGCCTTCTATAAATTGCTTATTTTTCCCCATTCAATTTTATGTTTCTAATATTCACCCATGTGATTTGTATGGCAACAGTTTAAGTTTCACTGTGTACTTGCAACTTCTGGTCCAGATGAGCATCACTGCCATGGTGAGCCTGTTACTAATCCTGAAAGGTGTTGCTTAGGTATGATACACTTAAAAGATTAAAAATTATTGCTTAGCTCTTGTCTTGCTTCCCTCTACCCTTCAGAGCTACATTGTCACAAGTGGCTGTGCACACCTAGCCCACACTGTGATAACTTTCTAACCATCCTCAGGATCTCCTCAAGTCTGGAAGAATCCATGGAAAAGATTCTAACACCTAATAAAAATTGAAGGAGGGAAAATTGTCCATTACCCCCATAGATGTTCTCATAGGGATAAGAAAAATAACTTACTATTTTTATAAGCCAGGGGGAAAAATAACTCACTATTTTTATAGGTCCAGGCAATCTTTGATTTTATTTTAACATCTGTTTTCAAAGATCTGTTACACAAAAGCGATTTCTCACAACAGGAATGCATTGTAATTCTGACAGTGTAAAAGAATCCAAGTTCTAAAATTTAGTTTCTTTGTGTTACTATAATGAGGTAGGTGCCCTATATCACAGCTTGGCCAGGTCCTGAGAACAATTTTGCAAAATGTCATCATCATAATGCTGCCTAAAGTTGGAGTTTTAACATGTCAAAGGGAATCATCTTTAACTTCTATCCACTCTTAAAAGAGTGAAATTTGTGGCAAAACATGCATAGTGATACCTTATTTTTAGTATAGATTTGTTATAATTGGAGTGTATTTGGGAAATGAAAACACATTTTTAAAGGCTCTGACATATCTCATGTCAGCTATTACTTAATGGCATTTTAAGGACTAGATAGTAATAGTAGAAAAAAGAATTTGAATGATACAACAAAAAAAAAAAGAGAGAGGCAATAATCTTGACACCTGAAAATAAAGGGAAATACTCTTACCTGTTTTATCCCACAGTAATCAGCAATACTGCTGATCAGCTCTGACATTGCCTGAACTTCGTGAGATTTTTTCAAATTCATAAACTCATCTAGCTTCACATTGTCACCTGAGTAAAAATACAACAAAATTAAAACACTGCTATCAAAGAAACAAAAGTTAATAAGGACCATCAGTTGACATTCATGTTTTCTGTAAGTAACTATGAAAATAATATAAATCCTATTGTGGTATCTACTAGTATATAACAGATCTCTATAGGTTCAGCTCCTATGATTCAAATTTGAATTAATGAAATAAATAAGACTGACAGAACATTATTAAAATGTCCCTTGATACATAAAACAATTAACTATAAAGAAAAAGACTGATAACTGAATTATCATATAGAAAAAAATGTGGAGATCCATAATGAAGTTGTTTAATATGTTGCATAAGAAGACCCACTTGGCATAAGCCTATGTGGGTTCATGATATAAGGTTGAACACTAAATTAAGACCATATTGAAAAGACATACATATATGAACAATATACTGCTTCTAAATGCCTAAAATCATACATACACATACATGTACACACACACACACACACACACCTACCTACCAGTTTTCTCTTCTTTATTTCCTCGAAGGGCTACAAGCAATTGCTCAAAAGGAGTACATATTCCCAAGTTTTGTATAGAATAATATTTCGCAGCCAGAGCAAAGGCTTCCACACTAACTAGCTTCTGGGAAGTTTCACAAAATATTTTGGAAAAACCAGTAATACCTAAAAAAAAAAAAAAAGCCAGGAAATGTTAGCAATACTTAAATAAAAGCTAATTGTGTGAGATAAAAATAAAATAAATGAAAAAAACAGTGGATCTTTACAACAAATTACAATACTTTCATTTTAGTGTGAATTTTCGCAATAACTTTAATGGTTCAATTATATTTGTTATTTAAACTGTTAGCTATTGTAGCACTCAGTTTTCTCCTAACACAGTACACAATTAATATATTTAAACTCCAAATTAAAATGTGGCCTTTTTTTGTTCCATGAGACAGAAAAAAAGAAAAAGAAGTTTAAATTCTGCTAAACTATAATGTAGTCATGAAATTTATGAATGGTCCTGGCCGACCTACAAATGTGAATTTAAAGGTTAGTCCCCACAACACTGTCATTCCCTGTCCACACTGCATGTGGAATAATTCCAATATCCTCTGTGGTATAAATATTTCTGTAAAACAATTCCTAAATAATTAAACCATGTAGAGTTGTATGTGTGTGTGTGGTGGGAGGGGGTGGGGAGGAGATATGTGTTCAGTGCACTGAACCCAATATGAGTTCTAAAACTAATGAGATGATGATCAGGTGAAAACATTCCATTTTCTTCCCATGCGCAGTTGAAACCAGACACTCTGAGGTTATCAACAGTTTCTAAATGCTCACTCATTTAGAAGAGTTTGGTGAACTGCTGTACTGCCTGCAACATCCAGTGGCCCATTATGTGTGAGGATCACGCAGCTTGTTGAACTCAGGTGTGGCCACACCTCGCCCAGGGGAACTGCGTCATTTATAGACAGAAGTTTTGAGAGTATTAGAAGATTCACTGCACATCCTTTCCCCAGAACTGTAATAGCTGAAGGAAGTGTCAAGGTGGAACCTGCCTCAGCCTGAGTCCCCACGTAACTACAACAAAGACATCACTGCTTCAAACTACAACGGACTTGCAGAATGAGAAAAGTAAACTTGTTTTTAGTCACTGAGATTCTAGGCTTATTACTGCAGCACAATATTACCTATTCTAATGAATATGCATAAACACACTGATAGATTTACTTTGTATTTACTCAATCCCACTTTTCTATGGTCATTTTTAATACATGTTAATTTATTAATGAAAGGTTAAAAAAGGCATTCAAATGTGTCTATAGTGGTTCAAAGAAACTCTTTGAATGAAGAAGTCCAATGAAGTCCATTTACTGAAAATTATTTTTAATAATTCAAAAAAGCCACACATCCAGTGGTTAAATGAAGTATTTAAAAACTTCTGGTTATAAAAGCATGTGCAATCCAGGGAACAACTTTGGTCCTACCAGAAAAACCATACTACATATTATGAAGTCTATTCTATGATAGCTGATCCTCCATAGTTCCTTATAAAATTATATAAATCCACTTACACACAAAGAATGATGCTCCTTAGCAAAAATTAAAAGCAAGAAAATTGATGGTTTGCAGAATTCAAAACAAAAATTGTATGCTTAAGACAGTATCTTTTTATTTTTTGTTACTTATTTTTTTAAAGAGTTTTTAAAAATATATATTTTGATTGATTTCAGAGAGGAAGGGAGAGGGAAAGCTAGAAACATCAATGATGAGAGAGAATCACTGATCAGCTGCCTCCTGCACACCCCCGATTGGGGATCAAGCCCGCAACTTAGGCATGCGCCCTGACTGGGAACCGAACTGTGACCTCCTGGTTCATAGGTCAACGCTCAACCCGAGTCATGCCGGCAGGGTAAGATAGTATCTTTTTAAAGTTATTATCTACTAAGTTGTTGGTGGTAACATTTACCAATTTAATTAATAAAAATAAAATTGGCAGAGATATATAACTTCCATTTCTGAATCAATTAAGTGGGAATTTAAACTGTAAAATTACTATAGTGATTTATTTAACATATATTTTGTATATGATATAAAGTTCTTTGGACATTTTACAAACTGAAATTACTAATGCAGCCAAAAGTAATAAAATCCACATCAAAATATTTAGGCATGATACAGAGGGGAAAACTCAGTCAACTATTAAGTGAGACTCTCAGGTTTAAGGGCCGTCTCAACATCCCCAAGTTCCAGGGCAGCAATTTCTTAGAGTGTGATAGAATAAGAGTATTAAATCTCAAAGTGCAGAGGGACTATTATAGTAGTCAGTTATTGGACAATGTTGCCAACAGAAAGAAATGTGATGTTTCTGTTGGAAGAGTAAAGGTTCAAATCAACTTAACTATCCTACTCAGAATACTTGAAAAAATTCCAATTCAAGCTTAATTAAATGTTGTTAATTTGCTTTTAATTATAGGCCTCCCAGTAATTCAGAATTTTGGAGATCTAAATTACAAAGATAGTATCTTTTCAATAATGTTAACTTTATAAAAAGAATAGTGTTTTTATTCAATCCATCAGTTTAGGTTACTAAGAGTGACACCAGTTTAGTCAGAAAAATATAGAACTCAATGAAAAAATATTTTTGAATTAGAGAAATATATATAGATTCTGTACTTTCTTTGTTTTCAAGTAATCAGCCTATAACTTTTTCAGAGAGAAGAGAGAGGAGAGAGGAGAGACGAGAGAGGAGAGAGAGAGAGGGAGGGGGTGGGGGGGAGGTGTCAATATTCTTGTCATTACTTCCATCTCTGAAACAGTATGTGAGCAGAACTATATGGAGTGGTAACAGTGTACATATTCCTCATATGCTTCTCTAGGTAACTGTATAATGAGTTTGGGTTTGACAGCCAGCAACACAGAATCCACAGCGCTACTGAATTTATATTTAGTTAATTCTTAATTAGCTAATGTTTTTACACAGGGAAAGCTTTGTTTTCAAATTTGGTGCCCTCTGCACCTGCATATTATGTGGCTTGATTATTTTGCCAACATCTCCCTCTACTGGACGTACGTGTTTTGCTTTATTACATGCATTGGTTTTATTAGTTTTTATACACCCTGTATCACTGTTCCACAGAGGTTTCTTATAAGATAGGTTAATAGGGCATGAGGAAGCAAGGGGAGCAAACAGGCAGGGAAGTTATTGTCTACAATATGAGATCAGGAAATCTCTAAGTATTCTTTTTTTAACAGCAGAGATCAATGTAGTATTAAGGAAAGACAGAAAAGTTATATATACACGTTGGATTATAAAAATGTTAAGGTAAAGCCCTAGCCAATTTAGCTCAGTGGACAGAGCATCGGCCTGCAGACTGAAGGGTCCTAGGTTCAATTCTGGTCAAGGGCATATGCCCAGGTTGGAGACTCAATCCCCAGTGGGGGGTGTGCAGGAGGCAGTCGATCAATGATTCTCTTTCATCACTGATGTATCTCTCTCTCTCTCCCTTCCCTTCCTCTTTGAAATCAATAAAAATATATTTTTTAAAAAGTTAAGGTAAAGAAATGAATAATAATGTTTCAAAATTAAAAATAAAATAGAATCAATGAATATATAATATTTATATTTAATAAATAAAAAATGTCAAAACTAAATGTGTTTTTTTACTTGAATACTACCTAGCACTTTAAGGAAGTCAGAGTGCTATTAGGATACACAAAAACTCATCACTATTATTGCTTTATTGCTAACATTTATTACACATATACTATATGCCAGGCACCATGCTAAACAGCTTACATTAAATGGAATAGTCTGATAAGCTAGCTACATAGTAATATTATTCCCATTTATAGAGGAAGAAATTGAGACTTAGAGAGGCTGCAGTGTATCCAGGTTCACAGAAACACGAAGTGGCAAGGTGTGAACCAAGGCAGTGTTCGACCTTGCTTTTAATTCCCACATTTAATCAGCATGCCATAACAGTAAGTCCACTGGACAACAAATGAAATCAGGCAAAAGAGCAGTTAAGAAAAGTGCTAGACAGATTGGAATGTCAGAACCAGGTCTAGCAAGAATTGCCTCTGGCATAGATCAATACATGTAATATCTTAAGATAGTTCATACTCACTTTGTTTATCTTCTTAATTCTTTCACTTTCTTTACTCCCCTCAACACCTCCCTTTTTACGAGAAGCAGTCTTAAGGCTTCAAGAAATTAAAAAAGTAATTTCTACATTTAAAACAACTGATAAGTCTCTGAAAAGGAAATAAAAGTTTTTATGATAAGGTTTTGTTGTAGTATCTATTTCTAGAAACAAGGCAATGGTACTGCTTCGTGTCCAGTTGAAAAGCAACATACCTTGCATGTAGCAGGTACTCAGTTAATAGGAAATAAATGGATGAATGAATGAAAACAATTCCTCAGAACATTTATTACTGTAGCATCACCAGGTACCCTGGGCAGAATGAGTTATCAGATTCTGTGGTGGTAGTGATTACTGAGGCCACTAGGAGGGCTTCACTAGCTGAGCCTGTGAGAGCAGCATGAAACCTCACCTCAGCCCTAACGTTTATAATTGCAAAGTGAAGAAAAGATTTAGGAAATTTAGAATGTGATGAAATACAAAATGCAACTGTGTATTAATTCTGGGCTTTAACTGTGTTACAAGGGATTAGGGCAAAGGTTACTACTGCTATTATAACACAGACTAGAACAGTCCCATGCCCAGAATTTCAAGAAGAAATCAGTAGTGCCCTCTTAACAATCTTCACAAGGACATGAAAATGTTCTGTATTCATCCTATATAATAAAAGCCTAATATCCAAACAGACTGAACGGCGGAACGAATAGTCACTATGACTCATACTGACCACCAGAAGGCAGACGTCAATCCTGGTGAGTGCAGCAGTGGTGGCGGGAGCCTCTAAGGATGTCCGACTGACGGCTTAGGCCCGCTCCTCATAAGCCGTCAGTCGGACATCCCCGAGGGCTCCCGGACTTCAAGAAGGCTGGGCTGGGCTGAGGGACCCCACCCCTCCACTCTCCACCCCCCGAGTGCACGAATTCATGCACCGGGCCTCTAGTTCCTACATAAATGCCCTACAGATATCTGCAATTCAAAAAGTTCAAAACTGAACAAACGTTCTCATGTTCGCCAAACCTTTCCTTTC